TGTGGCGAGGTTTGACTGTAATCATTTAGCATCTATTAAGTGTATAATAATAAAATTCAACAGGCGCGTGATTATTTGTAAGTAATAAACGATTGAATTTACCAGTTAAAAAATTCCACGTGACTAAATTAACCAGTTAAAGAATTTTTGCGCGGTGCCAGCCTCTACTTTGTTGATGGAGTCTTCAAATTTTTTAATAAAAGTAGAGAATTTATCCATTTTAAATCAATTGTGTGTATTACAGGAGGCCTGTTAAAAATCTCATGCAATTTCCATAAATTCAGAGCCCTACCACCACCATGAGTTTTCCATTGCATCAGAACACAGGATCTGGCCAACTTTCTTTTGAAAGGAATATTTTAAAACGTTTATTCTTATTGGGACAATAGTCGCCGATCATTTCTAGATATGTTCGCCCAATGAAGATGAAATATTTTATGGATGAGTTTATTCACCAATAACGTTTTACAGCATATTTTAAAGTTTATTATAAAACGCACACACGCCAAACTTTTCTTCAAAAAAGGTTATTAAAACAATTTCAAAATAGTATATATAATATATTTTCAAAAAAATAAAATTTATTCCTTTTTAACTGGCTAATTTCATTTTGAAGTCTAGCTAGCTTCGGACAGCAAGTCTAATATGCAGTATTAGTATATACTATTGGGATATGGTGAAATTTTTTCAATCATATTCTAAAAATAGATTTCTTTGAAAAAATTTTTACTTGAAACAATATTACTATGTTTATAGCGCAATTGAAAAGCCCCAAATGATTGATTTATAAACGGGATCGTCAATAGGGTTCTACATATGGGGAACGGAGAATTGAATGGCTCACGAAATTCATCAGATGATTTTATATTTACCGTAAAGTCTGGAAAGATAGCACCTCCCGAAAGATAGCACCCCCTACTTTAAAACAATTGAGCATCAATATAAAAAAAATGTTACACATATGTAAAAAGGGAATGCTATCTTTCCAGACTTTACGGTATCTAAAACATTCTCCTTCATTTTCACCATTATTTATTCTTAATTCTGTTTTTTCCCTTTCTTTACCTTCATTCAGTAATTCATTTTTGGTTGGAAAAATTTTTTAATAATTTTAATGTGTTTTTTTTTTGGAGTTTATATAAATATTTTGTAAATTTTAAAATTTAAAGTTCAATTCGTAAATAAATAAAAAGAAATGTCATTTGATCGTTCGAAATCGTTACAATCAACAGTAGACGATGATGGTGACTTTACAGCTTCAACATTTACAAGAAGAGGAAGGATTGATGATGATGATGATGATGATGATGATAACAACAGACGCCAAAATAGTAAAAATAATAACGAAGATTTAGATTTAGAATTACAAGAACGATCTGATAATATTAAACAGAGAGAATCAAATTGGATGTTTCATACAGTATCAATCTTAAAACTTAACAAAACAAATGCATTATTAATATTTTTCATACCAGCAGTGGTCTTGAAAGCGTTAAACGTTGATGAAACTATAACATTTTTCTTTAATTTTTTGGCAATTATACCTTTATCAAATATATTAACTATTGGAGTTGGTGATTTAGCTGCTAGATTTGGACCGGTAGGATTTGATTTATATTAAATTAAAACAAAACGAAAAGTGTGCGCAGAAAGAAGAAGGAAGCTGATCATGATTCTTTAAAGTTTACTTAAGTTCTTTAAATATCTATTATTTAATTAATTATAATTAGGCTTATGGAGCAGTATTTCATGCATTTTCAGGAAGTTTTGTTGAACTTGTGATTGAATCATATGCTTTAATGGATGAGCAATATGCAATAGTTCGTTCAGCAGTTTTAGGATCAATTCTTTGTAATATAACATTGGTATTAAATAATTATAATAATAGTAATTAATTAATCATAAATGATATTATTAATCGATTACATTTATTATATTATTATTACTAATGTTATTTAGGTTCTTGGAATTGCATTCATTGCAGGATCTTGGCCGACTGAAAGACGTCGTCGTGAAGGCTCAATGAATTCGTTGAACGTGTCAATTCAAGTCAAATTATTTGTGAATACAAGTGCTTCTATATTAGCACTCGCAGTCCTTGCTTTAGTTACACCTGCAGCTTTTAAAATAGCAGCAGCACCAAATAATGCTTCCGTTTCACCATTCATAGAATGTAATATAAGAAATATAAGTCACGCTACTGCCATCATCCTAACTTTAATTTATATTGGTTTATTAGTATTTCAACTTAAAACTCATGCACAAGAGGTAAATTTTATAATTTATTATAATATAATATCAAATGATATTAGTATTAACAATTATATTTATATTTAGGTAATAGATGCTAAAGAATTTGATACAGAAGTAAAATATAATTGGTTTTTTGATTTGATTTTGTGAGTAAAATTTTCATATCGTTGTTTTTAAAATTATAAAAATATTTATTGATTCACAAGTTAAAATATGCCATAAATATTTTAGAGTTGCTGTATCAATTGCTGGCATTACAGTTTGTGCTAGGTTTCTTGTAACTAGTATTGAACACACTGCACAAAATTTTGAATTAGGAACTGGATTTGTTGGAATTGTATTATTTCCACTTTGCGGTGATTATCATTATTATCATTATTATCATTATCATTGTTATATATTATAAAGATATTAATAATTATTCTTTTTTCTAGTTGTTTCTAATTTTATGGAACATTATCAAGCAATACATGATGCTGTACATGATAAAGTTGACACAGCTATAAGTTTAATACTTAATACATCTGTAGTTAGTATACAATCATTCAAGAAGATTTTATTTATTTATTTTTTATTGTTTTTACTAATTATATAAAAAACAAATTTTCAAATTTTTCTTAGCAAATGGCTTTATTGGTAGCACCAATATTAGTTCTTGTGGGTTGGATTTTAGATAAACCATTAACATTGGATTTTAATGCTTTAGAAATTGCTGTTCTAAGTTGTGCTGTTTTAATCGTAAACTATTTGGTTGCTGATAATAAAGCAAATTGGCTAGAGGGTTACATGTTAATTGTTAAGTATAAATTATTTATTTATTATATATATTTCTTATCTATTTAATATTAATTATATTTGTGATTATGATGATTGTATTTTTTAGGTTTCTTATTTTCTCATAGCGATTGCTTTCTTTTATTTTCCAAGTACTATTGAACCAGATAGATCATACTATTGTGATCCTTTCAGTAGAAATTTACCACCTAAAAATGTAACTGATTCAATTCTACAAGATCCTAGCGAAGGAGGGGGAGGAGGAGGTCATTAATTATAATCATTATAATCATTACGATTGTTATAGATATATACAATTGTTTTGTATTATGTATGTATGTAATTAGTTAAATATGATTTCCAACAAATATTGATATTAAATCATGTATTAAATTAACGAATAAAGATTTTTGTGTGGACATAAATAGATCTCATTGAATCCCCTTTATTAGTAAAGTTCTTGCATTCTCTAACGTCCATTGTCCCGTATTTTTATTAAAATATCACTATTACAATAGATCTATTCTAAAATCAATATTTATGGCATATGAACTTTACAAGTAAGTTTGGACTGCCATTAAGGCATTGCTTGCTTTACAAGTATATTATTTGAACCAAATTGAACGAGTCTTACACTCATTTTTGCAGAATTTTATTACCTTCTTTTGAAATAATCAATATAATACAGTTAGTAGTGTGTGGAATTACTTACAAAGTTCCTGATAAAGTAATTTCAGCATGAGCAGCAGCAGATAAAATGTCATGTTATGAAGCAAAAATGGCTATACAGTTTTTAAAGTTAGAAATTCTGCGATTCTATCTGCCGTCACGGCCGAAATTGCTGAATCATCACAAGTGCCATTTGTCTGATTCATTACCAGAAGTCACTAATACATGTATACCGGCATCGATTAATGATTTAACTGCAAGGTTAACAGTATTGGACCAATGGCGTATTGGCCACGGTATTCTTGTTTTACTTTTATTACGTAAATCAAGAACGTGTTTTAACCCTGCGAGTTTGAGCCTAACCAAGTACTTTAACAGTTGTATAAACGTTTGAATTTTTTAGCGCGATCCGCGACGACATGAGTACACCTTGATTATCGCAACCAGAAGTATCACAGCTCTGTGGTGAGGCAAAAAACCAATACCATGAAGCATTTAAGCGAATTAGGAAGACTATATTTATGATCTATCGGTAATCGAGTTTATCCATATGATATAGGTTTGGTAATGGAACAACATATTATATTTTAACTATCGCGTCCTTTTCAACAAGTTTAACTTCTTTACAAAATCTGGATTCAGATATGCGATGTAACCTTGAACCACAAAGTCTTCAACTGAAATATCCTGAATCGGATTTTGTCAGTTTTAAAATTTACAAAACATTTGCTATCGAAACGTTTGGATATCTGTCCAAGCAATCTTTCAACTATGTTAAATTGGTTTGACAGCTTTGGATTCTGTTAATAATACAATATGTCTTTCCAACGAGTACTTTAAATTGGGCATCGACCAATAAAAAAATTCCAATACTCCCAAAGTTGTCCATTCTTTTAAAAAATGTACTTGTTTCTGATAATTTCGTTAAAAATAATTTGCCCCGTATTAAAAATAAAAATAAAGCAAATATAGCATGATCATTCTATATATAATAGATAATTTGTATCTTTTAAAAGGAGGAAAAAATAAAGAGGAATGAGTGTGCGAAAGGATTTTTTTTATTAGATTGTCGATGAGAAGAATAAAAAACTTTTTTCTTCGAAAGTCCAAATCGGTCAAATGGAATAATAACGAACAAAGAAAATAAATTTGTGAGTTTGTAAACCAAATAAGATAATTAAGAAAGAAATATCATCCGAGGTATTATTTGATAGCAGCACGTGACCACATCAAAATTAGGTGTATGTTATCATTGTTATTAATATTAATATTTGTTTTAAAAAAAATCATCGACAATAAACCTTCATATATAAAAATCATTACGTTAATTTCAAAGCATCATTTAATGATTCATTCATAATATTATTTATTATAAGTGTAATTTTATTAATAGGGTTTAAATCCTCTTGATTCTTTAAGTTTTGCAATTTTCTGTTTATCTTCTTCAAATTTCTTTCTAAGCTCCACCAATTCTATCAAAATTAAAAAAAATATAATTAACAATCACTTCAATATATATTATTAGGAATCTAAATTTTATGCTTACTATTTCTTTTAGTCTCACGTAATTGAAATCTATAAAAATCATCTAATTCTTTATTCTTTGGTTTTAGATTTTTAACATCTTCAGGTTTAATTGCTGTCACACTAATTTTACCATCTGTGTTAACACTGCGTTTTCCTACCCTTGTCACCGTGATAAATCCATCTTCATCTGGCTTATTTAATCTTTCCTCGAGTTCTTTACGTTTTTTTTGTTCTGTTTTTTCGAAATTTAACATAAAATCATCAATTTTAGCTTGAAGATCTTTTGGATCTGTATAAAGTGAATAATATTCTTGAATCCATTCTACACAAATAAATTATTCATTAGTATGTTAAGTAATAAATAATAACTAGAGAAATTTATTTATTATTTATTACTAGATAATCCTAGTTTAGGAACATGTTTTTCTCCTTTTTCTTTTACTTTTTCATCTATAGCACTCCATATTCTTCTCTTTTGAACCATATTTAATGCTTTTGAAAGACCATCAGAGCTTTGAAATATTATATGAGCAGGAGATCCAGCCGTCTTATGAATGCGTACTTTTTTTATTATACCACACTCTTTAAATAACTCCTTTATATGCAATTCTGTTGCATCGACAGGTAAATTTGTTATAAATAATGTTTTATCCGCAGGCAAATTATCATCATTTTTGTTGTTGTTAGTGTGTGATTCATGTTGTTTGAAATAACAATAATGATTTGCACTTATCAAAGAATCTTTATCATTTAAATTACTATGGTAACTAACTTCTATTGGAAGAACTTTAAAACCTGTCGTTGGGATTTCTATTAAAGGCAAATTGCATGCAATTGTTTTTTTGTTTTTTTTTGAAGAACCCATTATTCTTGTCGATAAGATTTTTTTTTATGGTATCACAATAAAGAATTGTGTTAAATTAATAATTAGGAATTAATTCCGATATGACTATAGCCATTTTTATTATTTTTAGTTTGAATATTTGGACCTTGTCAATTTATTTAAATAGTCCAATGTCATTATTGATAATTCTCTGTCACAAAACAGGCTCGTTCCAATAAGCCATTCCATTGTTACCCTTACCATCATAGGATGCAAATGCATGGCGAAAATAATCTCTTTACTAATGAATAGTATATACCCAAGAAATTATGTAAACACGCTCATTTTTTCTTCCTCTTTCTCTTTTATACGTGTTGGAATTGGATTCATTATAATTGCCTCGATTATTTCAATTATGTTACATGGTTAAATTTTTGATTCCCTGAATTTTTATGCATTTATTAATCATGTTTTTTTTCAGGTCTTTTGCCATTTTCTCTAAGCTTCAATAAAATACACTCCATCCATATGAAAGCAAAAAACTAAGAGGCAAAATTAGATGCTGAAACTCACCTTGAAGCCTTAAAGTGGACCAAGAATGGAGAGAAAGACAATTAGCTGAGAAATTAGAGCAATTAGAAACAGTCAAGATAAGTTGACAAGCCCAAAAAATTCAGCAACTAAAACAACAACTATATTTAACTAATAAGTCTTTACCAGCATTACCAAGGGAAAAGAATAAACTACAACAGTTTACAAAAAGACAAGTGATAAATAAAATTTATTTAAAAAAGAAACAAGAACAAATAATTGAAATAAAACCTAAGCAAGTCAAATCAATCCATACTAATTCTTTTTTACCAAATCTTTTTTATTTTCTTTAATCTTTAAAAGATAACAAAACATGTTAAATTATGCAGTAAATTATTTCTCTTCAAATTTCTTTTTTTTTTTAAATTCTTCATGGTTTTGTGGTAAAATTCTTTTACTAATTATGGTTTTTCCTTCTTCTTGGTAAATTTCATAAGTAATCCATTCTTTTCTTAGATAGCTTTCAGTGACTAAGTATTATTTATTTTGAAAATATAAGGAGCAATTTTTTCACCTTGTTACTTTTTTAAAATACTTCTGATAGTGCTATAATTCTTGGACCCATGGTGGGTCAGATATAAATTAATTTCATATTATCTATATATCACTTAACAAATGGGATATTATAAAATTGCAAGTGGCTAAATTTTGATCCCTGAAATCCTTGGTAATACCAATGTTCACTTTGTCTGGTTTTGTTGCAGGAATTTCTGCGTCACACATTTTTTTTTAAATGTTTGGTGTCACGACTCTTGATATTGTTCGTACATCTCGTTTTGTATAGAAATTAAAGGCACAGATTCAAAAATGAAAGGATTACAGTAGTTGGAGGACATTATGGCATTCCATTGCTGTCTCAAATCTCACAGAAAAAGAGATAAAAGCTTTAACTCATGGAATACAATTTGATGGCGATGAAGTTGTTAAAGCGAATTTATTTACGTTTATTTTTTAAAAATTTTTTTTTAATAGGAAGTGTATCAGCGACACTTTCAATGGCCCATGTAACAATGTAGCAGCACATTTCACTGATTCATTATTGTGTGAAATAGTAAATGGCGAAAAAGGAATAATTGAATCTGCTGAGCGCAAGGAATTAATTAATTATTTCATGTCAGATGTTGAATTTAAGTTTAGAATGTCTTGGTGAAATTTATCCATTTGGTGAATTAAGTCCCTATTAAAAAGTATTATTGTCAGAAGCTATACCTGAATTAAAGGAAACTATTGATGAAGGTGTTAATGTTGCAAGAAAATTTTTTATAAACCAACTGAAAAAATAAAAAGTTTTTTTTTCCCAGGTGGTATGGATTTTTTAATCAGAGGGATTTTCTGCCGATCTCGAATGAGGCGTTGGGAAATTTGAATTTTGAATTTGAAATCAATCAGCTAATCAAATATGAAGGTGATATATAAATAAAAATTTGGGAATCTCCTTTCGGAAAAATCAGAAATTTATCACTATTTCTCGCCCTGCTTAATAATCCGTTAATATTAATATATTTAATAAATATTTATCAATAATTCTTATTATTATGTCATAATATATATATTGCATTCACTAACATCAATAATAGTTGTATGAGAAAATGAGTTTTTTATCAATTCTGTATCCCTACAAACAGTATATAAAATTCAATTGCGTCATATGTACGAATTTTGTTGACTATTTGCAACTGTATGCATTTTGTTAGCACGTACCCGTTGCGCCCACTGAACTTTATATTATAAAAAAAAATTTTTTATATCGTTTATCTCATTATCATTGTGTAATGCCCAAAAAAAATCCATTTATAAAAAATACTATCGAATTTTGTTTTTGATCCATGAAATCAGGGAAAAAAAAATAGTATAAAAAAATCCTATATTTGAAAACCCCCTTTTTCTTTTTAAAAAATTTTCTTGATAAAAAATTTAATATCATGTGAATAAATAAATTAGCACATACAAAAAAAATAATATCTATTATTCTTTTTTTTCTCTAACAAAAAGAGTTTTTTTTTTGTTTTATTATGAAAATTTTTTAACTTGAAATTTCTCGAATTTTCTTTATAATTGTCAAAAACCCATATTCATTCAGCATCCTCTATCACCATTTTTATATTAATTTAATACACAATATATATCTTTTTATTTTTTTATCGATCATCTTATTATATTATTTTTTTATTTTTGACGATTTTCCCATTTTCCTATACACTATATAAATTATTTTGTTGCCCAAAAAAAAAATTATATATATATATAATCCCCATAATTTTTAAACTTTTCATATAAATAAAACATGTCAAATGCACAGAATTATCCACAAGTTCTCGAATTTTTGAGACAATGTGATCTTTTAGAATATTACGATAGACTTATATCGGAAGGTTTTGATCAGATGCGATCTGTAAGTCTTTGTTTAGTATATTATTATTTTATTTAATTATATTTATTATATTATAATGATAATATCATTGTTATTCACCGATAATTTGAATTTAGTTGTTTGATATAACAGAAATGGATTTAATAGCAATGAATGTGAAAAGGGGTCATCGTAGAGTAAGTAAATAATTAATTTAAATATAAAAGTATGTTTACAGATTTATATTTCATTAATCAAATCAATTAAATAATTTAATAATATAGCGTATACAACGTGAAATAGCCACAATGAAAGGAATACCGACAAGCCAACCATTACACATTCAATCCGAACCAGGATTAGGACCAATCGGTGATTATTCATCATCAACCACTTCAGCGTCGACAAATCTATCAACGTCAATGACAAATCCTGGTAAAAATCTAATTCCTACTATTGCTGCTGCACCTGGTTCTTCTATACCAGTATTAATTGAC